GGACAGAAGAGGCTCTTGGATCCCCTGGGACTGGAGTTATAGACAGTTGTTAGCTGCCATGTGGGTGCTGGCATACGAATCCAGGTCTTCTGCAAGAGCAGTCAGTGCTCTTAACTGCGGAGCCATCTCTCCAGCCCCTATTTTATTTTATTTTATTTATTTTATTATTTTATTTTATTTCATTGTATTTTATTTTATTTTATTTTATTTTATGAGACAGGGTCTCCTTGTAGCCCCAGGTGGCCTGGAACTATGTAGACCAGGCTGGCCTTAATCTTGCAGAGATCCACCTGCTTCAACCTCTGGAGTCCTGGGAAGAAAGGCTTGTGCCACCACACCCAGCAGGACCTGTTCCTTAATGGGCACAGCAGCTCAACTTAAGTATACGATACTTATTCTGTATCTACCTGGAATCCCAATATCAACTTTGAACCCTATGCCTTCCCTACCTTAGCATCTTAATGGAAGTTCAATACATTATCAACCAAAATATATCTATTCATGTCTAGTATTATGGGCATCTATGCTGATGTTGCAGAAAGCCAAAGTGCATACACACATGCTTGTTCATGAAACCTACTGTAGTGGTTTGAATGAGAATGGTCTCTCCACCCCCCCCAGCCCCCCACCCGGGAGGCTCCCCAGATGGCAAGCCATTTGAGGAAGATTTGGAGTGTGGCCACACTGGAGGAAGCACTTCAGTGGGAGAAGTCTTGAAGAATTCCAGTTTCCCTCTCTCCTTCCTGTGCTTGTTTAAAAGATGTGAGCCTTCAGCTTTCTGCACTCAGCTGCCTCCTGCCCTGCCTCCCAGACATGATGGACTCATCCCTCTGAAACTGTAAGCCCAATAAACTCTTCCTTCTGTAAGTTGCCTTGGTCATGATGTTTTATCATAGCAACAGAAAAGTAAGGAATACACCTACCATTTCATTCAGGAAGTAAGCTGTACATATATAGAACATTAGACAGCAGAGTCATACAATAGCAGAGCTGGGAGTTTAGCTCGGCATACTTGTAATGACACACGTATTTGTACATCAGTGGTCCTTCAATCAGGCTGGGAGGTTTCTTAACCCTTCCTTATCCTTTCTAGATGTGACTGGAATTTCTGGCTTCTTTCCATCTGGTGATCCCAAACTAAACTGAAACTGAATTCCCCGATTGGCCCCCTGTCTCTAAGGTAATTCTCTTCCCTTGGCTACCTCAGAAGAGAGCAACAGTGTGGGCCAGAGGCGCAAGCCTTATACTTGATGTCTCCACTTCTCACTCTGGCCTCAC